CCTTCAACGTCTTTGTGCGCAAGCATCACTGCCACCTCGTACGTCACCGCGTCTCGTGCAACACGCTCATGCCACCCAACTATAGTGCGGCCGCCTCATGTGCTCGTCGTGCTTGGAGAGCGTCGACATTGACAAGGACGAGAACCGGCGGTCCAGCACCTACGGCTTTCGCGCCACGGCCCTCTCCACCATGCGGTCGCAAGCACCCACAGCCGGCCCGCGCCTCCGCGCCAAGCTCTGTGTCGACTGCTGCACGTCATACATGCAGGAGCACATGTACAGCGAAGTCGCGCGCACCGTGGCTCTCAAAGCCAGCTACACGGTGCACGAGGCGCCCATGAAGCTGCCGCGGGCGAGCGAGTCGCAGCGGCCGACGGACCGCGATACGTTCTACTCGACCGTGAGCTTGCCACGGCCATCGACCTCAACGACATGTGCGTCGACACCGTCGAGCAGCAGCGAAGAAGACCGCCGCCTCGACGCACTGCGGTCGCTACACGTGCTTGACACGGCGCCCGCCCAGCTCTTTGACGTCCTCGCCGCGATTGCGGGCGCCACGTACGACTGCCCCATGGCTGGCATCAGCTTTGTCGACGCCGACCGCGAGTTTTTCAAAGCTGCGATCGGGTTTCCCGGGTGGGATCTCCCGCGGTACCAGTCGCTCGGCGCCCACGCAGTTCGGTGGAAGCAGCCGGTCGTGCTCTGCAACAAGCGCGCGATCAACACGCGCTTCCGTGGGCACCCGTGGCTAAAAGGCCCACTGCACCTCCAGTTTTATGCAAGCGTCCCGCTGCAAACAGCATCCGGCCACGTCGTCGGGTGTGTCTTTGTCATGGACACCCGTCCGCACGCGTCGTTCGAGGACGCCGGGCTCCGCGAAGTCGCTTCGTCGATCCTCGCCAAGCTCGAGCTCAATGACGACGATGACGACGTCAACTCGATCGCTGTGATGCAGTCGGTGCTCAGCGCCATCTCGTCGGTTCGGTCGGATGCGCTCTCGTCGATGCGCTCGGAGTTGCACTCGGTCGTAGCGACGTCGGTGATTGAGCTCGCGGACGAAGACCGGCTGCCGCCGGCGCCGCGCGAAAGCAGCTCGAGCGACGCGGCCGCCAGTGACATGCAACGCATGCTCGCGTCCCTCCTCGCGTGCCAGGCGCACACGCAAGCCATCCTCGACGGACACCGCGCCACGTATTTGCAACATGTCGCATAGTCGCCCGCCGTCTAATGCTATTTAACGCACACTCGTTAACAGTGTGAATGGGAGACGCCGTACTACTAGTTGGTAGCGACAAGGTGTCTGTCTTGCCGTTGCTGGCGACATGCGAACGCGTCATCTCTCGCCTGAGGCCACCGACATGACACGCCAGACGCCTCACCTGGCAACGACGTTTCGGCGATGGATGGCAGCGTCGTCACGGTTCCTTTGCACCCAGCACCGTGTTGCTGACGAGGCACCTTGGGTGGACGACTCGACCACAGCCATCGACGCCACTCGTAGCGCCACGCCACTTTGCACTAATACGGAAGCTCCGACGGCAGAGCGCCATGGGCTCGAAAGCGACTGATACAGTAGAGTCGTGTGCCAATACTTTGTCGAGCTCGTTTAGTTCGTACCTTGACGGCGACGACGAAGACCAACTACAGACTGTAATGTACTTCATTACACAGTACTGTACCAAGTCTAGTCGACACCTACACTGTACTATGAGCGCACGGCGATGCGACGCAAGGTGATAGCATGTGGCGTTGGCCGCACGTCTGCAACGACTGTCGTGTATGATTCGCTACTGGGTGGTGCCACTAATGCTCGTGGTTGATCGCTCGCGGCTGTGCCTGGTCTGCAGCTGGTATTGCCAATCGTGTCTGACCGACGCAAGCTTGATGCGACGCAGAGCTTGCGGTTGAACGAAGGGTGCCATGCTTCCAACGTGGGTGTTGATGCGTCGACCGTGGTGTTGGCAGCACAGGGCCAACGTAGACGGAGCTGCTCGAGTCAGATAGGGGTTGGGGCGTTGTGCCTCAGGAAAGGGCAAGGCGTGCGTCCAGTGTGATGGCCACCCACTTGACAGCAGATCCAACGCGGCCGTGGTAACTCGCGCGCCCAACACTTGTCGACAGCTGCGACGACGTCTCGCGTCAGTGGTGCATTTACCAATCGTACCCAACTACATATGAGCGGCATCACGATCTGTCGGCCGCGCCGGTATGGCGCGTGGGCCGTCGACAGCAGCACGTGGGCGCGCCTGAGTACGAAGGACCACCTCCACGACACGGCGAGTGCCGTCGACTGCCGCGCCTGCCAGAACCTCTTTACATGCTTCCGTCGCAAGCGTCACTGCCGCCACGTACGTTCCATCCAACTCTATGTGGGAAGACTCATCGCATATTCTAGTGTGGCTCGGTCGTCTGTCGCGCCTGCCTCGAGATCGTTGATGTCCACGAGACTGCGGACGACAAGCGCCGCCGCCGCACAGTGCAGATCTGCATTGAATGCTGCGTGCGCCACGTCATTGAAACGCTGCCCGCCAAGTCGGCCCGCGGGTCCAGCGAGCGCGCAACGCTATCGCGCAGCCACACGCCGCTGCAGCCGCCGACGCGCCGGCGACCCAAAGCCACAAGTCGTCGTCTGGAGGTCGTCTCCGAAACGGTGGCCGACACGGCGCGGTTGGACGACGTCTGCAAGGCCGCGGCCGCCGCCTACAACTGCCCCATGGCCGGCGTGAGTCTAATCGACGTCGACACTGAGCGCGTCATCGCCGCCCATGGGTTCGTCTCGGCGCCGGTGCCCCGCGCGACGGCCTTTGGCGCCCAAGTTTTGGAGAGCGCGTCGCCGGTTGTCGTTCTCCGCACGGGCGATCGCGACCATCCGTGGTGCGCACCACCGACGTCTGCAACATTTTACGCCGGCGTGCCGCTGCACGCGCCGTCGGGCGTCGTCGTCGGCACGCTCTTTGTGCTCGACACCAAGACGCGGACGGCCGCGGTGCGCACAGCGCGCCTCGAGCAGCTGGCGTGCATGGCGTCGGACGCGCTGCATCCGGATGAAAATGCCACGCTGGTCTCGGTGCCAGTGCTCGAGTCGGTCGTCACGGCCGTGCTGAGCCCGAGCTCGTCGCCTTGGCCGTCCGTGTCGTCGGCGGCCGCGTCGCCCTCGGCCGTCTTGTCGCCGGACGACATGCACGTGATCCTTTCGTCGCTTTTACGCGAGCAAGACCGCACGGACGCCATCTTGGCCTCGTTCGTGCACGCGCGGTAGCCGCTCCACGAGTACATAGTCGTCGATGCGTACACTGTAGTACTAGTATCATCGTCCGTAGTAGGAAGGACTCTACTTTCCATGTACTAGTGTATTGATACCTTTGCCTGTGCAGATGGTCGCTCGCCTTGCTTTCAGTTGGACGCTTTTCCTGCAGCTAAATCAGTGAAGAGCTATTGCGCACGAAGGTCCAACGCCACGACAGGCGTCTCGAGACGAATGTGCAGTGAGCAATTCGGCGTCTCGCAGCGTACGTAGCGCCACGTACTCGGCAAGTCGGTCTGTATCCTTCGGTGAGAAACTAGCTTTCAAAACGAAACCAAGGTCGTTTAGTTGGTATTGCATCCTACTAAATACGACTGAGCGGAATCGCCCAGCTCAGGCGTTCGTGGGTCCCGTTGGACGTGAGCCGTCGGTCGAGCTCCATGGCACCGATCGAGAAGCCCCGCCACGACTTGATGTCGAGGACGTACAAGCGTCGTCGCCACTCGATCGCGATGACACCGGCCATGAACGCCGACGTCTTGTCGAGGAAAAACTCGCCGTGGACGACCCAGTCGGTCATGTCGAGCATGTAGAAGCTCTGGGCGTTGAGGAGCTGGGTCGGGATCGCCAAGGCGACGAGGCGCGGTCGATACAGCCGCTCGATGCTGTAGCACCCGACGACGCTACCAATGCAAATGAGCGCCGTGAGGCCGACGCGCGAGGCGTTGCCAATCTCGACGTAGCCGCTCGCACAATGTAGGGCTGTGTCCATATCGACAAACTCGCAGTGGCGGTCGAGGAGAGCAGTGTACGCTTGCGGCGACGCGGCGGTCCAGACGGCGACAACCACCCACGCAAGGAACGAGCTCTTCATCGCATAGTAGGACGTGTACGGGCCCGTGACGCAGCTCAAGAGGTCGTTGAGCACGTAGACAAGCCACGTGCTCTCGGCGCTCGCAACGACCAGCTTGTACCACGGCAAGCTCGGCACCGAGAACCACGTCCCGCATCCGATGCGACGGAGCGTGAGCGTGCTCGTGTTGAGGAGCCATATGGCCGTGATCGCACGGACGACGAGGAAGAGCCGGCCGATCCAAACGTGGCCGACGATCCGGTTGAGCTCAAAGAGGTTGAGCCTCTCGACATGTCCACGCTGCGCGATGGTGCTGAGCGCGACGCATGCCGCGACGCAGAGAAGGACGGTGGTGATGTACTGGACGCAGCACTGGAAGAGGTACGAGAGCGAGTGCGGGATCTCCGATGCATCTGGTGCGAAGACGAGCGGGTGCGACCGGCTCGAGATCGCAGTGATCACGCCATGGTCGCCCTCGAACGCAACCACATCTCGTAGGCCGACGATCCATTCGTACAAGTAGCACCACCCAAAGAAACTCCAGCCGTTGTCGGACGCCTGAAGGAGTGGAATCGAAGTGAGCTCGACCAAGCTAGCGTTGAGAAGATAGAGCACGACGGACGGGGCGACCGTTGCGGCGGTGGCCGCAGCGACGCTCGCCGCGTGGATCGAGAGATTGTACGTCATTGCAAAGGCGGCAATAGCACGATAGTCCGTAGCGCACGTACTGCTTGCGTAAATATCGAGCGCGCACACTGCTTCGTAGTTGGTGGGGGGGCTTGAGAGTACGGCGAGGAGCAGCTGCAGCCGCGTCGGAAACATGTACTCATTGTAGTATGAATGGCACATGCTCGCCATGCCAAAGTACGTGTTCCAGCCGAATGCGACTGCATTGGGCGGGACGTCGTCGCCGCAAAGGAGGTTGCTCCCGATCGTCCATCGGTGACCGTACGCCGCCGGTAGCGCTCCCATGCTAGCAGCGACCCGGAGCTCGAAAAAGGCAGCTTGCGCCGACGCATTGTGATACAAAAGCGCTGAGAGGGCGTTGGCGAGGCCCGTGTACACGCTGAGGAGCGCGTTGGGGACGGGCACGAACGTCATATCGACTGCGTTGAAGGGCCCGACCGCGGCTCGGAGCGAGGTCAAGCCGGCCGAGAGCGGCGCTGACAGAAACGACCCGTTCGAGATGAGAAGGTGCTCGCTGGATACATTGCTGTAGGCAAAGCGAGGGCTCGAGGCGAGGAGGCTCAAACCACCGACGCCGGAGGAGTTGCACGTGGCGGCCCAAAGGTCGCTCGCAAATGCCCAGTACATTTTGCGTGACGTTTCTTGACTCAAGTGCGTTGAGCCTGCGCGCGCACTGAGGCGTACGGGGTACGATGCCCCCAGCGCCGTGCGGATCTGGATCGAGTCCAAGAGACCGACCGACTTGTAGTTTTGCCACTGCAACACAAATGTGGTGAGGCCATGCGCGGCCCAGAATTTGGTTTCGTCGGCGATCGAAATCGAGTGCGCTTGCATGGTCGCATTGAGCCACATCTGGCCATGCATTGTGCTGGCGACATCGCGCGCAATTCCAACCTCAAACGCATCGCCCCAGCAGCGGTCCCAGACGGCCCAGTCGAGAATGTTGCGCAGCGCGCTCTCCAGATACCTCGCGCCGTTCGATCGATGCGCTACGCAGCGCGCTTGCCGTGCGGCTGTCGATGCCATTGGCCACGTTTGGCTCCAGTCGAGCCAGCAGTACTGCGTGAACATCCACGGCAGCATGCACGGATCCATCGCCCGCAGGCCCAAGATGATCTCGTCCAGCGGCGGGTTTGGCTGGTAGAGCTGTCGGCGCGCCATCGCATCCGGCCACAGCACATTTGTCTCTGACGTGTTGTACGACTGCTGCCAATCGCCCATATCGGGAGCGTCAAGGATGAGGCTTGTCGTCATGTTCGTAGCGAGGAAGAGCTGCACGTTGAAGAGGTTGGCCACAAACGACCGCGCGCCCGTCGCGTTGTAGTCGACCCACCCATAGTCGTTCGCCAAATACTCTTGGGTGACGCCCAAGTAAAAGTAATTGCCGTAGAGCGAGCAGAGCAAGTACGAGAACCCGCCGACGAGCGTGATCTTGTGCAGCGTGCGGTGCACACGCCGCGTCCACGTGATCGTACCTCGGCGTGGCGACGCGGCTGCTTTGGTCGAGAGCGCAATGCAGTGGGGAAGATCGACTGCCCCGACGTGGCGACGCACGTCGTCGGCGCGCACGGGCAGCCACAGCTTTGTGTCAAAGAGCAGTCTGGGGCGGGAAAAGTGCAAGATGCCACAGAGCGCGAGCGTGGCGTCGTTGAGCCGTACACCGGTCGGCGCGCTCTGGGGATATCGATGGAACGCCACCGCCGCCGGTGGCAGGAGCAAGTTGGGTATCACCGCGAGGACCGGGCCGGGCTTTTGGTACGCATGCGCCAGCAGCAGACATACACCGACGGAAATGATGTTGAGACCGAGAATGGCGGCCGACCACGCCAGCGACCGAGTTGACGCGTGCCCTGAGGTGCAGTAGATCATATAGTCCATCTCGACGCTGTAGCACGACCGAGAAATGCTCGCGCTTGTCGGAATCGAACCCACAACGTCGAGGCCTGCGATAAGGAGAAACGCCAGCACCGAGCTCGGCGGCGCATAATGCGGCGTGAGGTTGCCGACAAGCGGATGTAAGAGCTCGTGCAAAACATACGTGAGCCACGTGGTCTCGCCGGCGAGGAGGCACGAGGCGACCACCGAGCGTCGCGCCGTCGAAAAGTGCACCCAGTCGTAGCTCGTCGTCGTCGGAACGATGGGGGCGGTTGAGAGGCAAATGAGCGCGACCAGCGTCCGGAGCAGAAGCAGCCCTCGGTTCAGCCACACGGTGGAGGCGATGCGGTTGAAGACAAACCAGTGACTGCCCGCGGGCCGCCCCGAGACCACGTGAACGACAGCGATGAGCAGCGCGACACCGCCGAGGAGGCTGCTCGACACGAGCATGCATATGCGCAAGTACGCGGCCCAGCTCACAACGAGCGACGCACCGAGCTGGCTTGGTACGGGCGGATAGTAGAACGACATGACGTCAAAGCGGTCGACGTCGCCTTCGACTTGCAACACCGTGCGCATGTTCATCGCCCAGTCGTAGAGCGCGGCCCAGCCAAAGAACGCCCACGCGCCGTCCGCGAGCAGCGGTTGCTGCGCTAAGAACACTGTCGTATTGGCATTCGTGGTTGCGACATACTGCAGAAAGAGGAGGTGCGCAAGCTCGTCGGTCGCATTGGGTAGTAACAACGTGTCGTTGGACGGTGCGAGCCGCGCGTAGCTGGCAGCGATCGCGTCCAGCATCGTCTCGCAGCGTGGGGCGTCGCGCAGTAGCGCGCATGGTTGCTGTACGGATCCACCGAGCATCGTATAGGCAAAGAGCCCACTGAAGCTAGTCAGCGTCGTTGAAAATGGGTTTTGGCTTGCGCACGCGTCGCTAAACCCCCACGACTCTTGCGGGTACGGAAGCGCCGAGCCGTACCCGCACATGGGGTTGCCACCGTAAAAAATGAAATCCGGGTCATTCCAGCGCGGCGGCGTCGGGTGCAGCACCGTCGTGTCGATGCTGGCAAAGATCGTCGCGAGTGCCATATCGGCCTGAACACTCTGGAGGATGTGGGCGCGGAAGCGTTGGACGCTCTTGCGCAAGGTGGCCGGGACAGGCACCCAAAGCAGGTCGATAGTACCGAGCGACCCGATCGAACGGTGCACAACGTCGTAGAGAAGACTGAGCGGAAGGCCGACGGCAAACGCCTCGATGAGCGAGACATTGTTGGCTTCGAAAAAGGCCGGCGCGCTCCGAATCAGACTCAAGTTCGTGCTCTCGAGCGCGTTGAAGTCATATTGCAGCGCCATGTTCATGTAGTTGGAGGTCACGAGTGCGTTGCGGACACTTGCCGGTATCGATTTGATCGCCAAGGTACCTAGCGAGCCAAAGACGGACGTCCCGATGCTCAATGTCTCTTGGATCCCGATCTGGTTGCGGTTCGACCACTGGAGCTTAAAATGCGTCAGATTGTGCGCATGCCAAAATGCGATTTCATCGGGGACCGACACGAGTACGTGGCGGCGCGTGGCATCGACCCAGTCGGCGCCGCCTGGAAGCGCGGCCATGCCGTTGGCGATGTACAGCTCAAAGCTCGTCGCGGCAAGCGCCAGCCACGCGTGCATATCAATGTTGCGCAGCACCGTCTCCAAGTGGACGGCGCCGTTGGCCGTCCAGAACTCGTCACAGCGCTGCTGACGTCGCGCCGTGTGCGCCATTTCCCAGCGCCGATCGACGTCGGCCCAGCAATACTGCGGACTCACATACGCCACGTTCCCGGCCGAGACGCGTCGCAAACCGGCAATAGCCTCGCCAACGTCCGTGAGCTCTTCGTACATGATGCGCCGCGGGTACGCGGCGTTGATGCCAACCATGTCGAGCGGCGAGAGCGCCAACGCGGCGTCCGTGAGCTCGATGCCGCTGGCGACGTTCGTGAGCGTGAGCTGGAGGTTGTACACGGCCGCGAGCACGGTCGAGATGTTTTTTGGCTGGAATTCGGGCCAGAACGAGTCGCTTTGGAGGTACGGCTCGGCGAGGAACACGCTTGCAAAGCTCAGCGCGACCGAGCAGCCGACGTAGAAAAGACCGGCGGCGTCGTACCAGCGCGCCTCACATGGCATGTCCGATTCAGTACTTTGCGCTACATCGCTTGGTGCGACAGCGACGAGGTGACGCATCGCTCAAAGAAGCACAAATGCGACGGACCGAAACGCTGCTCCAACTATAGCAAGACGCGTCCTGAAACCGGTGCTGTCCTGGCCTGTCGCGATCCGCAAAACGTGACACCAACCTGTTATGCACTTGAATGCGCCACGTTAAGACGATGCGTCATGGGACGTCTATCACTGCCGATAGCGGCGAGAAGTACGAATTCGACTAGAGTCACACGCCTCCTACTCGATGCAGGCCAGGACAACCAGCGTCCTTTCTTGCTCGAGACTGAAGCTATACATGTCATTTCGCCCGTCATTCTAGCGCGTCCGAATCTGCGCGTGGAGCAATGCGGAGATCCAAGTGGCGTCCGTAGGCCATGACTGCTCGTGCCCTTCGAAGCGCGCCCTTCCGAGAGAGTAGAGAAGCTGGCCGTGGACACAGCCCAGTGTCATACGCTGGGTTTGAGAAAAATGGAAAACCTCTATAAACGCATACTTGGAGTTTGTATCGAAGCGCTCGCATTTCAATACTTGTAGCAAGGCCGAAGCATGTCATCGTCGTCGGACATGACGTCCATCATTGCGGCCGTCGCCGTGCCGATCGTCGTGCTCCTCTTCATCGCTCTTCTCTTGAGCAAGTCCATCTACGTCGTCCAGCAGGCCGAAGGTGCGTTGATCCTCCGCCACCGAATGGGCCTGACATGGGCGTAGGCATTGTCATTGAGCGCTTTGGCCGCGTCCAGGGCGTCCTCGACTCGGGCATCCACTTTGTCGTACGAGCCTCTCGACACAACGATCATCCTGGCATACGCGTCTTAGATCCCATTCATCGACTCGCCCCGGAGCTTCTCGTGGAAGCGCGTCGTCAAGTCCAACGGCCGCATGGAGTCGCACGAGTACGACGCCTGCATCGTCCTGCGCGCCGCTCACCGCATATTGTGTAGCACGCAAAACTACCGCATCGACCTGCGCGAAAGCATCTTCAGCTTCCCGAGCCAAGAGGTATACCCTAATGCGTGCCAAGTTCTCAGCACTGGTATAAGGTGTACACGCGGGACACGATCCTCCTCGACATCAACTCGATCATGTTCTTTCGCATCGTCGACATCAAAAAGGTATAGGCATTGTCGGTATGAACGATGCTGACAAGAAGACGCTAGGCCGTGTACGAGGTCGACGATCTCAACACGGCGATCGCGAACGTCGCGCAGACGCAGCTGAAGGAGGTCTTTGGCAACATGACGTTCACCGAGGCGCTTGCGTCCCAGAGCGTCATCAACGCCCACATCCAGCGCAGCTTTGGCGAGCGCTTTGCGCAGTGGGGGCTTGTGGTACGAAATTTAACTATCGCAAGTGGGACGACCGTTTTGATCTATCGAAAATGCTGCTAGGTCGAGCGCATGGAGGTGCTCGACATGCTCCCCAAGGCCGGCACGACCATTTCGAACGCGATGAAGCGCCAGATGATTGCCGAGCGCACGCGCCGCGCCGAGTTTATCATTGCCGAGGTCCGTAGTTGGTCGGCGCTTCGAACCCGCCTCATGTATTCTGGTTGATGGCAGGGCAAGAAGGCCGCCATGCGTCTCATTTCCGAGGGCACCAAGCTCCAAAAGTACAACATGGGTGTCGCCGAGCAAGAAGCCACGCGCAAGACGTACAACGATGCACGTGGCGTCCGCGAATCTCATGTATCGAATGATGCAGGTCGGAAGGGCAGGCAGGCGCCAAGGTCGAGCTGGCGCGCGCCGAGTCCAAGTCGCTCGAGCTCATCGCGTCGGCGTTCTCAGCCGACGGCGCGTCGCAGACCGAGTACGTCATTTCGCAGCGCTACATGGAGATGCTCCAGCGCATGTCCGTGGCGCTCGACAAGAAGACGCTCTACTTTCCGTACGAGACGAGAGGCATGTCGGGGCTCATTGGCGATCTCCGCGGTGTCTACGGCTACTCGAAAACGGTA